TCCTCTTGTCCGCTCGCTCTCCCCCTCTTCATTGAGTAGACGAGGCGAGAGTGCTGAAAAGGCACGTGATTATTACTGCTTGGACGCATTTTTTGGACGACTGGGTAATGGGCAAAGAAAACAGAAAGCTCCCTCAAAAAATAATCAGAGGCTTGCATGCCTATGTTTCTCTCTGTAAGACTTTACCACTCTCACGTTTACTACTGATCTTATTTATTTCTTATTTCAGAGACCTGCGACCCAACGATCATACTGCGTTGCAACTTCCCACAAAAAGGCATTCACTTGCATGCATTATTCAAGCATATACTCCGTGTGCGTGTGTGTGTTGGATCCGCTGCATTGATAATGTCTACTGCTGTAGGTGGGCAACCACATGCAAGTTGTCTTCCTCTCTCTCTCTGTGTGCTTGTGTGTGCGTGTTGCTTTGTACTCACCCTGCATTTTGCATCCTGAAATCCCGTGCGTCTTGCCCCTCTTTGCCACATGTCGATCCAAGCGGTGCGGGCGACGAGACGGGCCGCAGTGCAAGGGATAGGTGGGTGCGGCGGGGTGCACCTTCTCGGTTGTCGCCCGGGCGGGGCGTGAATGGCGTGCGTGCATGTGCTCGTTGGGCAGTGCGGTAACCAGCTTGGGACCCAGTTTCTGGACAGCCTCGTGGCCGAGGCGTACGCGAGCGATGAGGAAGACGGGTTTGCCGCGCAGGTGTCGTCGCTTCACTTCCGGCCATCGCCGGCGCCGCGGGGCGGGGGGCTGCATGATGCTGCCTCAGCCCCTCCGCTGCCGCGCTGCGTGATGATTGACATGGAGCCCAAAGTCATTGAGGGGATCCTCAGGAGCACCGCGGCTGGGGGAGCCTACCGGCCGCACGTGCGACAATGCATTACCCGTGATGAGGGGAGCGCCAACAACTGGGCCTGCGGTTACTTCCAGCAGGGCAGCAGCAGAAAGGAGGAGATTGTCGACGCACTGCGCCGCGAGGGCGAGTCGTCGGGAACTGTGGGCACGTTTCACGTCGTGCACAGCATTGCGGGCGGGACAGGCTCTGGGGTTGGCTGCCTGGCCGCGGACGCTGTGCGGGAGGAGTTTCCCCGCGCGTTGCTGCTGCACTCGGTTGTTTGGCCCTTCACCGCCGGCGAGGTTGTGACGCAGTGGTACAACTGCGTCATGGCGATGAGCGCACTCCGCGACACCGCCGACGCAGTTTTTATGGCGCACAACGACGACTTTGGCGATGCCGCCTCCACAAGCAAACAAGGCGCCCGTGGCGCTCGCCGCGGCGAGGTCTCCTTTGCGAGCATCAACGACGGCATTAGTCGTCTGCTGGTGGACATGCACCTTCCGCAGAGCATCTGCCGTGTGACACGAAACCCATCCGCGGCCCCGGCGGCAGCTACCCCATGGCACACCCACCCCCTGCGCTCACGCACTCCGCTGGGGGCTGAGCGGGTTCGCTCCCGCAGCCCTCCCGCGAGACCGCTGCGGCACGGCAGTGTGGCAGACCTTGTGGAGTCCGTGGCCCTCGACCCGGCGCTGAAGTTCTTCTCCGGCGCCTCGGTCCCCGATGACGCAGCCGTTCCCCCCAGTGGAGGAAGAAGCGGCGAGGTGGAGGACAACTCACTGCCGTGGCAGAGAGTGGTGCGTCAGGCGGCCCGCAAGTCCGCGGAACTCTTCCCGCCATTTGCCGGCGCCTGCGTGGGCGGGGCAGTGTCGCAGCGCCCGGTCCTCTGGAGTCTGCGTGGTCCTGCTGCCCGTCGCGAGGGGCTCTCCGCGCTGCACGAGGTGGCCGCTTCGCCCACTCCCTCTTGTTCGGCAGGCCAGCTTCTCTTGCACGAGAAAAGTTACCGCGGGCACGCCGCGCACGTGTCGCTCTTCGGCCCCACACGCGACATTGGGGTGCGGCTGTCCACGGCGCTGGAGCGGACTGAGCAGTTGCTCTCCGTCGGGGCCTTTACACATCATTTTAGCCGCTACGGCGTGGGGGTGGAGGATGTGCGAGATGCCGTTGTGCGGCTCTGGGACACGGCGGCGGTATACGCTTCCGCATGAGAGCAAAAGGGGTTTGAAGGCGGCGGCAATGACGGCCACACGCGGACGGAGAGGTGGAACTGCCCATGACGGCGTGAACCGTGGGGATAGAGATGGAATGGGAGATGGCCGCCTGTCTTGGGGCGATTGAAGGGAAAGAAAACGGGGGTCGTCCGCAGTGCCTGGGCACACACCTTTTCCTTCAGTTTCGTTTTCTGTTTGCCTCCTCACTGTCTTTGCATCAGCAACAGCTCACCCAGCCAACTGCAAGGTAGAAAAGCCGCAGAGTGGAAAGAGAAGCAAGGAAGTAAAAATACAGGGAGGAAATTGCAAGCGAAAGCAGCCATGTCGACTGTGAGCAGCGAAGTGTCCCGGCGGTGCGTCCAGCACAACCCGTACAACATGCAGCTGCTTGGCGTGCAATGCGACGGCATCAGTTCGGCTGCGAAGGAATTCTTCAACGCCGCTGCAGCGATGGAGGAGGCCGCGGCGGCGGCACGGAAGGAATTCGAAACTATGGATGACTACGACCAACTGACGTGCACAGAAGGCGAGGGCGGGATATCGGACAACGTCACAGACGAGGCCAGTCACACGATGTCCGCATTACAAGCGTCACCAGCGGCTTTTGTGGTGCGTCCTTCGCCCGTGTTAACCGCCGTACGCTACGCCTCCGTGAATTTCCGTTTTGGCAGCGCCTGGTTCGTCGCCCCCTTCCGCACCGCCGTTGGCGAGATGGTCGTTGTGGAGTACCCGCACAACAAAAGCCTCCACATGGGCCTTGTCAGCTGCATCTCGACGCGGGTTCCGCCCACGTTTGCCGCCATGGTGACTGCGGACGGCACTATCAGTGAGGGGGACCTTCAGCAGTGTCCGACGCTTCTGCGCCACGCCCGCGACTTTGACCGGCAGACGAAGCTGGAGCTGCGCTCACACGACCTTGCCTCGCTGAAAAACGCGCAGGCGCTCGCCTTGGAGCTGGAGACGCCCGTCACCTTCCTAGACGCCGAATGGTTGCTTGACCTGACGGCCGTGACGTTCCTCGTGAATGTCTGGGGCGACATGCCACTGGTGGACCGTCTCGCGGAGGAGCTGGCGGTGTTTGAGGGGGCCGAGGTTGTCTTTACGTACCCCGCGGCGAGCTGACAGCCGTAGCGAAGCGGGGCACTGCCGCGGATGTGAGGAGGAAAACAAAACACAAAAAAAAAAAAACGGCGCGCTATTAGGGATCCGTGTGAGAGCGGGCGAGAAGGCAAGAAAGGGGTGTGCAGAAAGGATAATCTCTAGGAAACTCCTTCCCTCCACACCACGTATGCGTGCATACCAACGCTAATGTCTGCATAGGCAAGTGTGCGTGTGTCACTGGGAGAAGGGGAGTCAGATGTATTTACATATGCGCACTAGATGAGGAAACGATGAAGGGTCGCAGCGGCCGGTTAGTTGGTGATCTCTCCCGTCATCGAGTCGGCATCCCTTCCCCCCGCTCTGTTCTGCCCTTGCCTATTTTTTTGTGTCGTTTTATTCACAATGAACGCTGTTAAACCCATTCACTTAAAGTACAAGGTGCCGAGGCCCCGCTGCCAAAGGAGGAGAGGAAAGGTACGGGAGAAGCCGATGCGATGCAAAGAAAAAGAAACAAAAAAGGGAAGCGTGTTTGCCTGCAACTCGGCTTTTTTTTTTTTGCGTGGTTTGCGTCTCTCGTATTCTGCGTCTGTGCGCTTCCTTTGCCGCTGTCTGTGGTGCCCGTTTTCCTTTTATTTTTGTGTGGTTTCTAGAGGTGCGCTGTAATCGGCGAGGGAGGAGGTTGCTGGGTCACCGCGCGGGTGTGAGATGTATCTAAGTGTATACTCATGAGCATTTAGACGCGTGTGGTGCATGCATTTTTTTCTTCCTTTGGGCGCCTGTGGATTTGCCTTGCAGCCCACTTTTCGTCCCCTGCGCTGGGAAGGGGTGGCGGCCCCCCACCGCACGGACCGACGAGGTGGCGGGGACAAAACTTTTTTGGCCTCCGCTGCCTCCCCTCCCCCTCTTTATGTTTTTTTTCTTTATTTTAATTGCCGAGGAAATGAAGGAATGAATGCGTGCGCTATTTTTGTAATCCCGTGGCCCCGCCGGCGTTGCTACCGGTGCACTCGTTAATTTGAGAGGGATGTGCTGCTGCTGTTGTTGTTGTTGGGTTCGGGTTAACACCCTTGCGCCGCCGCCCGCACCGCACCGCACCGCACGTATGCAGCCACGCGCCCTCTAGCGGGCCGCTGAGAGCGAAGGAAGGCGCGGAGCCTCGAATGTGTCACGGCGCTGGCGCAGCAGAGCCGCTCCGTGAATGATAAACTTGCAACAACAGGAAACTTCCCTGTTGAAGGGGAAGGCTAGCGTTGAACGGTGGGAAGTGAATACGTGGGACGAAGTATAAGATAAAGCTCGGTAGAGCTGCAATAGCACTATAAACGCGGTAATGTCGCGGATATGTATTATGTATATGTGTGTACCTACCACTGGTGTTCAACTACTGTGCAATATGAGATGTAATCTACACTTCCTGTATGTGTGTGTGTGTCACACTTTGATTTCAACTAACACATCTTTAGATACTAGCAAAATCTTTGTTCCGATGAGTGTTTTTTTTCTACGTTCTGCGATCGTGGTTGTGTATTTAACAGTGCTTTGCGGGGATGGGAGATGGACATTGTGCGTGTGCGTGTGCGTGTGCGTGTGTGTGTTGGATCCGCTGCATTGATAATGTCTACTGCTGTAGGTGGGCAACCACATGCAAGTTGTCTTCCTCTCTCTCTCTGTGTGCTTGTGTGTGCGTGTTGCTTTGTACTCACCCTGCATTTTGCATCCTGAAATCCCGTGCGTCTTGCCCCTCTTTGCCACATGTCGATCCAAGCGGTGCGGGCGACGAGACGGGCCGCAGTGCAAGGGATAGGTGGGTGCGGCGGGGTGCACCTTCTCGGTTGTCGCCCGGGCGGGGCGTGAATGGCGTGCGTGCATGTGCTCGTTGGGCAGTGCGGTAACCAGCTTGGGACCCAGTTTCTGGACAGCCTCGTGGCCGAGGCGTACGCGAGCGATGAGGAAGACGGGTTTGCCGCGCAGGTGTCGTCGCTTCACTTCCGGCCATCGCCGGCGCCGCGGGGCGGGGGGCTGCATGATGCTGCCTCGGCCCCTCCGC